CAGTTGTTTAAGCTGCTCCTTTACTGCGTAGTTCAACAGCAGCTCATCCAAGCTGCTAGCAAATTCTGAAGTCGCCTCTTCGCGTTCCGGCGATACCACCATTGCAATGCGATACTGAGCAGCGTCGGGCCACAACGCCGTTTCTGCAGGCAGAAAATCAACAATGCCAGATAACATCAGGACCACACACTGAGGGGTACACCCGTTGAATGCCAGGCCCCTGATTTGTACTGCACAACACTCAGCCACCATACCGCATTGTACTGTTCTGTATTCAGCAGATTCTTCATCGCAAATAGCTGAGGATGTGCCCGAGATGTTCGGAAAACTACAAGTCTTGTTCAAATGTGGTATTACCCTGCCACTGGCTAACAAGACACCCCACCTCCTCGCCCCACTGACCCCTTTCAGATGAGGAAGAATTTGACAGTGAGTCAGAGAAGGACTCACTGTCAAACCTTCAGCGGTTGGATCACAGCAGAGCACTGATGGGACAAACCTAACCTGACAAATCAGCAAGGAAAGAGAAAGAGGAATTGCCAACGGGACTACCTCTCATTTTGCGGCGTTTCAAAAGATCTGCTGCCTGACGATATAACACATTTGTGTCAAGCAGTGGAGCACTTTACTTGCTTCTGCCATATCCATCACACACTTGTACGTACATACAGAACCAGCCGTGAATGAGGAAGCGGGTCAGCGTACCGGTTCTATTGAATCTATTCCAATGCATAGCTTACGCGAATCCGGCGAGGGACGTGAATCGGATTCCACTTCCTCCTCCTCGACCGCCACTGGCACGCCTTGATCATCCAGAGCGCACACTGCCGCTACGTTGATGGGCAGATCCAGACGCGCTGGATCAACTACGCAGCTCTTGTCTTGGAAGAGTGACGCTAAACTCTTGGACAGGCTAACGCGATTCTGAAAGACAATCAGGAGGAGCAACATGGGAATCAAACAAAAAGCAGGTCTGAGGAAAACCTGTGAATATAACAGACTGGACATTAAAGAGATCGGCTCTATTGTGCGTTTCTGACGCCTCAAACTGATGCATACCCCAGAAACACAACATAATTAAAAAATAATACAGCATATGAGATCTGTAATCTCCTCAGATACTGAGCTATTAGATGGATTGCATATCATTGGTGAGTTAACAAGCATACTGGTGCATTGAATAGGTCGGCTGACTTGTCATAATTTAGAGTCAGGCAGATTGACGTTTCCGCATCCGCAGCCACTTGCCACAACTGTACTAGTATTGACCCCATACTGAAAATAAATCGCTGCGAAATGTCGAAAATCTTGAAATGCCGATATTTTGCATACTTTAGTTTGTTACAAAGCATGACTGCCTACTAGTAGTACTCACCGCCATGAACTTGCTTTTGGTTGTGCCATCATTCAAGTCCACGGCATCGCGGACATTCTTTTCCACCTGTGCGAGAGTGTTGGCCAGCGACGACTGCTTCTTGTCAGCACATGCAGCCGTGTGTTTGTGGAGCTGGATGGCGATAAGCAGCGCGGTGGCATTGCAGTGAAATCCATGATCAGACACTGCATGAACAGGAGAGATGAGAGTGGAGACAGAACTGAAAACACACTCATCTACTTATGATTATTCCAATTTCCAAACAGTTCCAGAGAACGGTTCACATCAAATGGTTCAACAGCTCCTAAAGTCAGGTAGGCGAGAAAATCAGACCCACCACAAAGTGTTGAAAGACTAAACATACCATTCACAGTGTCCATGTTATCCCTGTGCCAGGCCAAGAGTACCTGATTAACCATGGGTCGCAGCGCAGTAGGAAAAACCCTCTGCTTCCAAGCAAGACTTGGACCATCCCATTATGGTGACGGGGCGCTCTCACCGTGCTCTATGGCACTGGCCAAAACTAGTCCTCGTACAGTGAAACCTGTCTAAGACGACCGCTCAAGGGACCCTCAGAATGTGGTCTCTGTTACCAGGTGGTCGCCTTACCCAGGGTCACTAGACTGGAAATAGCACCCCTTGGTCCTGGTTGCAGTGGTCTTCTAGGACAGGTGGTCTTCTAGGACAGGTGGTCTTCTAGGACAGGTGGTCTTCTAGGACAGGTGGTCTTCTAGGACAGGTGGTCGCCTTGACAGGTTTTACTGTATCTACTTGCAGGCCTGCCGGAACCGGTCCGGTTGGTCAAGTCATCACTGGACCAACGGGTCGGCCACCTGCGCCAGTTTACTGCTCAGGAGGTTATGTGCACCCGCTACCATACACAAACTGTATGAATGGCTATGGTATGGCCGGGCCACTTCAGAAACTGCTTCCGCCGGTCCTGAATTCAAACTATCTACAACTTGGGAGTCGTGTTGCTGGTGTGAATGACGTCAGCCAGAGAGTGCATGTGGTGGGGTGCTTGAACTAAATCAGTGATGAACAGTTGCTCCTTACTCTCCTATTAACATGGCATAGGTCGTGAGATATCCAGTCTCATGAGACAGGTAGTGTCTTTATTACAGCGATCAATAAACACTAAACATAGGTTAGAAGTAATGTATAGTCCTGGCCCAAGAAATCCGACCCCACGAGCTGAAAGCACCGCAAAGGCTCGTGCAGCCCCCATGCAGTCCTTGGGTGAGTTTTGAACCGGGCATGATGTAAACAAAATAGAAACGCCACTTTTGACTCGCAGGTTGGAATTCTTTGGCCACGACTGTACATGTATGCATTGCATGCAGTAAGACTGTTAGAGTAAGAGTTTTTCGTCTCGCTAACCTTTCGTTTTGAACAGGTCCCCATCGGTCAGTGCATTCAGGCACGTCTCGAACATGAAGTGTCGCTCCGGTCGGCGCATGACGTCCGCGTCCAGCAGGCCAGCCGCCACCAGGCGTAGCAGACAGTTCATGGGCATACCCGGCTCGCTCTCCGATACAGTGTTGAATGCCATGTGCAGCGTGTCCTCCGGCTGCATGTCAAAGGCGTAGGGCGCGTGAACTGGTGTGCCACAAACAAGGCCCGCCACAATGGCATCTAAATAGAACAGAGGAGTATCAAAAGTTCAAAACAAGGTTTCTTTCTTTTAAAGAAAATGGATAAATAGATGCACGTACTGCCACAAAGGATCCGTAAACTACACTCTGAAATACTTGACACAGACTGACAGACAGACAGACAGACAGACAGACAGACACAGACAGACAGACACAGACAGACAGACACAGACAGACAGACACAGACAGACAGACACAGACAGACAGACACAGACAGACAGACAGACACAGACAGACAGACAGACAGACAGACACAGACAGACAGGCACAGACAGACAGACAGGCACAGACAGACAGACACAGACAGACAGACACAGACAGACAGACACAGACAGACAGACACAGACAGACAGGCACAGACAGACAGACAGGCACAGACAGACAGACAGGCACAGACAGACAGACAGTCAGACAGACAGACAGACAGACACAGCCACACGTGCACTCACACACACATCAAAACTACCCTGGTGTATGACTTTAAACTGCAAGTGGACTTTTCGAAGGGAAGTTCATGAAATCTTTACCACGAGCTTACTCTCGCCGCATACCGGAAGAACCCCCCCCCCCCCTCTCTCTCTCTCCCACTCGTATCATGGCACACAGGCCGAGCGTGATTCGCCCGGCTACTCCTCTGCAAGGACTCCGGATGCGCTCAGGGCATGTACACAAAATACTGGCCAGAAGAGAAAACATCATGACAAGGCAAAGGCAGCTATGCTGCTACAAACCACTTACAGCTGGCACTTTGAAAGAAGTTGAAGATATCTGAAAACTGCTTGGCCTGTTCGTGCTTCTGTGAAAAAAAGGGAAACGACCGTCGTTTCCACACCTCAGACAGCTCCACGTAGAGCAGGTCAGGAATGTGAACAAACCAGTCATGATATGGGTGCACATCTTCAGCAGTCAGATCTTTCCTACAGACAAGGAAGACAACGGAAGCAAGGACTCACTGACGGCAACAAGAAATCTAGGTGCAGTCCCTCTGTCTTTGTGTCTATAACGCATGCCTACGCACCCACACGCGCGCGCATGCGCACACACACACACACACGCATGCACACACACATGCATACATGCATGCATGCATGCACACACATGTACACAAATGCACACACACACACACAAACACACACACACAAACACACATGTACACAAATGCACACACACACACATACCTGTACACGCGCGCACACACACACACACACACACACACACACACACACACACACACACACACACACACACACACACACACACACACACACACACACACACACACACACACACACAACCACATACACACGCACACACCCACACGCACACCCATGCACATGAACACAGACTCAGTAACATATCCACCAGGTAGAGCACACACAATTCATCTTCACGAGAAGGGGGGGGGGGGGGGGGGGGGTGCTCAGAGCTGACAGTACAATGCCAGTAGCTCGTTTGATAAAAGTGCTGGGATAATCATAACAGTCACACGCCTGGAAAGGTATTTCGCAACCCAGGTGTCTTGCACATAACTAATAAGGCAGCTGCATTGAAATGTCACACAAGTACTCGTGCGATAGTTACACTGTGACGTCATATCCATTATGAGTTGGTTACAGTGCCACATCATCAGGCCAAGACGTCATAGACTCGATACCGGTAGGTACTGCCAGCTAGTTCGGTTGGTGGGAACACTTATGCCAGATAGTGTTGGGTCTGTTGCCAATAGGTTCTGCTGCTTGAAGGCGTATTGTTGTAACTGCCACCTTTGTTGGTTTCAGGGTTCGTATACTTTCCATTCGAAGTATACACACCTGTTAACCATGGACTGCTTCTGGCTATATTAACTCTTGTGTAATCAATGGTGCTAGTGAAGCTTATATCAGGTCCTCTCTAATTTAGCCACCAACACTAGTAGCAAGTGTTACCTTCACTGGGGGCAGGGGTAACTGCAGTTGGATATCGGGACGGAT